TCCTGAGATGTATGACATGCTGATGTTCTAGAAGAGAATGTCTTGGAGATTTTGAAATAGTACAACATATATTTTTAATAAATGATTTTGTGTTTTAAGGATTTTACACCTTTTTGCCTTTATTATTGTTTTTTTATGCCACTTTGGAGATACTTAAATTTACTAGATACTATATAGCAATGATAGTGCTGATGTGTCATTAAACCATATATATATATATATATATATATATATATATATATATATATATATATATATATATATATATATATATATATAGAGAGAGAGAGAGAGAGAGAGAGAGAGAGAGAGAGAGAGAGAGAGCTGACAATCAGACTAGGGAACTTTTCATGAATCATTATGGCATCTCTCGTGTTCAAGGAGTTTTAAAATGAAATACTGACACTGGGAACACTGATTTACATCATTCATTATTACCTTTTCAGACAGTGTCTGTTCAAAAATCCATTCTTGCACTTCTGCTTCAAGTACATACTTCCAGAGTGCTTTACTATCAGGGGTACTGAGTTTAATGACTACTACAGTTTTTATTCTCATACATTTTATATTTAATCCATTTAATATTAAAGAATTTTTTATTTGTTTTGATCTTAAGACAGAAATAAAAAGTGTATAATCTTCTCCCTCAGTTTGTTTAGATTCATATACTGTTGATAATGTACTTTCTTCTTTTTCTTCTTCTTTATCTTCTTCTTCTTCAATTTGGCATATGAGATGATGACTGAAAGTTATTTTTATGCCCTTTCAGAACTGTTAAAGGGGCATGCAAAATTGATTGTGTCCATTTGGTAAAATATTTAGACCACTGTGGAGAGGCATTCATGCTACATTAACTTATTCATATTTCAGCTTGAAAAATCACAATAGTCAAAACCTTTGACTTTCTTTTCAATATTAATCAACTGATAGTCCTTTAGTTCTACACTGTTTCTCTCTATAATGAGCTACATGTCTTTTTACTTTAACCATTGTATGCTTCTAGTGAACAGCACAAAACATGTCATGTAAATGGCAGAAATATGAAAACATATTCAATTGAGAAACATAAATCACTATCAAAACATCGAATCAAGGGATGAATTATAATTATAATTATATAACCGATTTTCTTATTCCAGCTGATGAATACAAACATTTTGCTAATTGAACATATTTGGGGGTTTCTTCTTTCTTTTGTAACAAGTACAATGCATCAGTGTTCACATTTAATCATGGATGGATGTTGCCAGTAGCACTTATCCATGAAGGGTTTTTCTTGACAAAATATAATGCAAGGTGGTGTTCATCCTCAACATCATTTGAACCCACAATAAACATATCCCAAGGTTTGCATCAATAGATTCAATTGGCAATTTGCGTGTGGGGAGAATTGCCGTTCTTGATATCAGTCACTAAAAATCAAAATGAGATTGCCATTTCCTTGTGTAGATTGTTTACATAAACCAGGAAGTGGAGACAAGTGTTTGAAATAATTGTGGAAGTTTGAAAGAAATTGATGTTTTCTATTTAATTGAATTGTTCTCTAATTACTTTTAAACAAACAAATGATATTTTAGCACAAGCTTCATGAAAATATATTCTTGCTCTAAAAAAATGGCAATTAAACTTTCAAACACCCGTATTTATTTTCATTAATATCAAATACTCTACCATTTACATTTGCTCCAAAGCCAGGCTTGACTTGACAAATTAATAGGCACATTTCAACATTTCTTCCTGGTATATGCGTCGGTCTCAAATGCGCAATGAAGTTTGGTCGGTCTTTTTGTTGTTGTTTTTTTTACGAAATGAACTGAAATGGAAATGCGATATCCGAAATGGAATGACAAAATAATTCTTTTCATTGTATACCTTTGAACTTGATGACATAATACTAATATTGTAATACCATGGTCAAGATATTGCAATAATTTACACATTGTGATCATATTGTTACGAATTGTATTAAGAGTTATTCTTAATACTAGGATATTCATGTTTGAAAAAGACTCCTTACTTAAATTAAATGCAGAACGAAATCATCGTAAACTATACCTTCTTAATTTTTTAATTGTTTAAAATTTTTTAAGTTATTTTACTTCTAGCTTTATGCAACCATTAGCTTTTTTGATTGCATAGGGTAAAAATCAGTCTTCTCTTAATTTGTAATGCAAGCTGTATAATTGGCATGGGAAATGAAGCATTGCCAAATAATAGTTACCATTCTTAAGTTATTCAATCAGTATAATCATATATGCAAACAATATATTTGATATGTTAGACTAGTTATAAATATTTTATTTGAAGTTTTTTTCCTAATTCTTAAAAATGTACATTCGCAATATGAAATGGAATTTCGGCATACGAAATGGAATTATATCTGTGAAAGTGAGATCGGTTTGAGAATTGGAATCATAAAGGTATTTTTAATCACTTTTATCGGAAAAGGTTAAAAAATATGAAATTATTTAGTTACCTATCATACTGTAATGAAATTAAGGAGATGCGCATTTGGTTATAGCGCCCTGTGTAAGCAATTCTTAGGTTTGTGTGATTATTTTTTGATTTTTGGATTTCGGTGCAATGTGAAATATTCCTTCGCCCGAAATAATTCGCCAATTACTAGGAGCAAACGTCACGGAGAGAAAGTGTTAGTGAGTTTCCATGATGCTATGGTCAGTGAGTAGCGAATTCAGAGCCACTCAACATGGGTGACACTGGAAGTGATGTAGTACTTAATAAAATCTAATGATGTGCATTGGTGTTGTGACTGCAGTGACAGTATTTACGGTAGGAAACAGGTAAATTACACAATGGAATAAATGGGAAGGGACTCGGCAGATACCGTCTTTGTCGCCATGGTGGCAAATGTGATGTAGTTTTATTGGCGTGATGTGCCTTGAAAGCATAGATTGACTGGCCTAAGGTGGCATAGTTAAAATAGTTCTCAGTATTAGGGATAGTTGGGCTTCCTAACTTACAACTGAAGTTGTATAGAAGTCTTTGAAAATTTGGGGTAAACTTATGGCTTCTAGCGGGAATCGCGCCAGGGTTTTGACACAGCTGTCAAGCAAAGACCCCCTGGCTTGTAATGATACCTACTCTCTCTCTCTCTCTCTCTCTCTCTCTCTCTCTCTCTCTCTCTCTCTCTCTCTCTCTCTCTCTCTCTCTCTCTCTCTCTCTCTCTCTGTTTGTGTGTGTTCGTGATGATTCTTCAAATTTCAGATATTTACAACACTTTATCAAACACAGAACTACAGAGCATTAGAAATGCAACTTTTTTTTCCCAGCGCTCGCAGCTTCTCATAGTCCTAATCCAAAACCTTCATTACAATTTTTCCATTGATATGATCTGTATGACGTAATTATTTAGCACACAGCAATGTCTCATTCAAGTTATTTTCTTTTTTAAAAAGTGAAAAATTTATTTAAAAAAAAGAAACATATAAAGGGGATGCATCCTTTAAGCTCTAACATATTCAATTGTCATTATGATCCTAAAACGGGGCTAGAGTTTTGGGCAAGAATTTCCGGCTTTATGGATGCATTTATATCCCTGTGTTTTTAAATTCGAGACTTAAGGAGGATGATCCGTTACGAATAATCAAATATTCTCATGGCAATATCTCTTTGCAGCATGTACTTTATATTTCGAAACTCTTTTGCTTCAAATAAACAATGTCAAATTGACACCATAGAACAAAAACTTGAGAACTATACCACCACCTTTTATATATATATATATATATATATATATATATATATATATATATATATATATATTAAATCATTAAAAAAAGACAAGGAAATTAGAACATCTGGTATAAAAATTGTCAAATATTTTTTTTTACATGTGCATCACCCGCATTTATATGCATTTACGAGCGCTAATGAATAAGAGTCAACATTAAATGAGATTTATGAAGTGAAAAAATATATACGCTAATTCATTGAGTCTACAAAACATGTTGGTGTTGTTGATGAGTTGGATCTTTATTATATCATATATTTATCTCAAACTTTATGATCGTGAGCAGCATTGAAAATGCTTGAATTGGTCAAATACAAGAGATACAATAAGCAATGAAAACAGGCAAGACAGATGACTTCAGGGTAAGATATTGGAAAGCAGATGAAAACGGCAGAATTAATCCATTCACTAACGAATGGACGAAATTTAAAAAATATTTTCGTGACAGTTACTGAATGGTAATAATTGATCTCAATGGCATAAATGCAACTCAAACAAAAGAACCAGTATTTTAAGATCCATATTAAGTGAGCGAGACAAAAGATTAGATGAATCGAACGTTAACAAATCAACTCAGAAAGTAATGTCGCAATACCAAAATTATTCACATAGAGTTGAAGATGTTGGACAGGATTGCAGACGTTCAGAAACTTTAACATAAAACACAGCCGAATGATTAAAAAAACGAACCAAATATCTAAAGTATCATAAAATGCTGAAATCACAACGTGGAATTAATTAAACCAATTTAAATAGCCTAAGTACGATCTATTATATGATGGTCAGGCGAGTAGCTTTTCAAATATCTTGTTCATTGATTAAAACATAACATTACGTCTGCTTTCAAATCTGATTGGAAAACAAAACAGGCACTAAAGAAGGAAAAGTGTAAGGTTGGTTTGCTTTCAAAGCTGGTGAGATAACAAAACATTACAAATCAAGTCATTGGACATCACAAAAGTCAACACAATTTAAGAACAGCAGGAACACTTTTCCACATGGATTGGTGATGTGATGTGATTATGATTTTTAACGTAGTTTTAAAAATTTTTCAGTGATATTGCTACGATGTCTGCAGTGTGGCAGTTTATAGTGATGTCTAGCACTGGAGCATCATACCACAGAAATGTAGCATGATGTTCCACCCAGTCACATTATCCTGACACCAGTCCGACCAGTCCTAACACTAACCTCTTAATGCTGAGCGTCAAGCGAGGCAGCTGTTAGTACCATTTGGTAAGTCTTTGGCATGACTCGACCGGTGATCGAACCCATGGCCTCCCGCATCCAAGGCGGACGCTCTAACCACTAGGCCATGGTTCACATGGATTGGTAAAAGGCAAAAATGTTAACAGTAAAACATTTTCGCATTATCTTAACATTGCTTTCTGAACTGGGTCCCTGTGGCGTCTTTCGGAAATATTCGCTAGTATAACTGCAAACGGTCTGATTGCATGTACTTGGTGGCAATAGTATTTATAGGAGCCTATTAAACAGCGTAAAATCATTATGTATTTCTGCGACAATTTAACACTAGGCCGCCATCTTGCAATTTATAGGGAAAAGTCTTTCGTTAAGAAGTTAGTTGATTTATTTTCAGACGATAAGTCGATCTGTTTACAATAGAATAATCTGTTACGTTTCTTTGGTGAGGAATGTTTATTGGAATCCGTCTTTCCACTCAGCGACGTGAACATTACATCCCAAGATTATCTCGTGTGATTCGTCTGGCTGTCTGTAAAACTATTAGTGTTATAGGTTTTGTATGTTTAATGAAAACGATTTCTTATTTTAGGTATCAAACCACCAATTCTTTTTAAGCCAGAAAAGCCCGTCTACTTGTGGTAGAATAAACACGGTACTAAATATTTTGAGATACACTCATACGCTAGTAAATGTAATTAATTTTTTTTCATTACTCATTTTATGAACTTTAATCTATGTAATATAATCGATAACAAAATATGCATATTTATTTTGCTATTCTGTATATAATTTCCTACTGACAAAATAGTATATGGACTCTTGGTGAGAGATAGGTGCAGACCAAAGAGTGCGTCTGTTTAGAAGTACGAGACTTTAAAAAAAATGCATAAAATCACCGGTATTAGAAGGCCTTTTTATTCACCTCTGATGAACTGAAGCATGTGTGGGTTGTATGCCAAATTAATGAAGAAATTATCTTAATATTTAATATATTAGCACCCCGTTACATACGAAATTAATTAGTGTTCCTATCAGTTTAACCAATTTCTAAGGCAAAATTATTTTAGAACTAAAACAAATTAACAAATAATCGTTAATTTATAATGTGCCTTGTTTGAGTGACAAACTATATTGTGCTTGCTTTTTTAAAAGTTTGCCATATTTTTCATTTACTAGTTCCGGTGACCAGTGTTATTTTGAAAAATAATCGAATTACTACAGTATAATTTGGCGTGTGTGTCACGTTATATATTTAGAAGGATAAAAGCCCCAACAGATTACCAATACAGCTGGCATAGATGTCACTCAAACAATCCAAATTAAAAAAGACTTTGCTTTTCTAATAAATCTTGCTATCTGAGAAATGGTCCAAACAGAAAATCGCTGATGTTAAATAGATAGACCATTGTACAATAACTTTTCTAGTCACACGGAATCGCCACACGTGATGAACATAAGACATAATGTTATTTCCGTAAGTGGGCAGATACACTCTAATCTCTTACATTTTCCGCCAAAGAAACACCACATATTCTTATAAATTTTTAGCAAGAAATTTATCTAGAATATACATCAATTGGTGAATGCAATTTAAAGATGAAAATCAAATTGAAACTGGTGGTGGACAATGGTGGAATTTTAGAGATAAAGAAATTTCATATTTACTTCTTCCAATTCTAATTATAGATGAAAAGACAACAATGTAAACAATATTTACAGCATAAAAGAAACAGCAGACAAACAAGAAAATTGTACTAAGCCGTGTAAAACCTGTAAAGTACAATTTTAACAAAAGAAAGGTCAAAACTCAAGTAAAGAAATTAAAGCACATCGATCATTAACATTATGAAAATATTTGGCTTTAAGAGAAGCGGTCGGTTCTATTGTTAAATAGCTGGATTTACCTGGAAATATTGAGGTCGTTAATAACATTATGATTTTGGTTTCTACAAAGGATAAATCATATGTCCCCTAGAAATGTCACAAGATCTCCACTAAAATAAGCACAAACATCGGTCGCTTCATTTTCATTGAAGAGGCACTATCGTATCACGTGCCATTGGATTAACAAATTTTCACCTTCGTTCATCAGACGGAGAATATAATGAAAATATATGTATTTCTGTGAAGAGCTTTACACTTTATAGAAATATGATTGATATTCGTATTTTCGAAGAGTTGTTAGTTTCTGAATAAAAGATATTTTTTATTTATAAGAAAAATATTAGCGAATGGCATAAGACAGATGTAAAATAATTATCAAAATCTGCCGTTTCAACATTAGAGAGTACAAATTATTTTAGATGCGAGGTAAATGCAATGCTTTTTATCAAAACGAACGCTAAAATATTTAAAGAAAGTCTATATTTTAAAACATAATATATACAACGCAATAATGTTCTTGGAGTTCAGTATAAAAAAAGAAAACTACCAAAAGGACTGCGTTAAAATTGCAAGAGAATAAAATGCAGCATCTATAGAATTCCATCCCAATATTTACGTAGAAGAAATGATAGGTAAACCTATTTTTGAGATTCCAAAATAGAATTCTATTAAACAAGAGAAATGGATAGAACAATTCTTACCAATTTACAGCACCTCTCAAAATGTCTCATTAATCTTTAAGACCAATTCATTTTAAGAAACAAAATCACAGCATTTCTATGAAAGTATTAGTTTTCTTTATACTTCAGTGCAGTGTATGACAAATATGTGTAACTATTCAAAGTTTAGTTGTAAACTGTGATTTATATAATATCTCAATTATACACTATTAAAAATGTTTTATCTATTGAACCTATTAGAAGAAAACAATGAAAACTTAATTTTATCGAAATAATTTTCAGAGCTGATATGCATATCCAATGCATGTACTGTTTAAAATAATTAAATATCCGTCATGATCCGTAACCAAACATTTGCCAGTGTAATCTCGTGTGAAACAATATAAATAAATCCCCCCTTCCAGGCATGAATGTAAACGTCGATGTAACAAGTTATTGTAATGCTACTTTCCTCGCGAATGTTTTAACTTTCTAAGTGGGGTTTAATATAAATAATTGTTTTTAAAACGAAGCTGGTTATGTCTTCATTGCTTAGAAGTCAGAAGTATACTGCTGTTACAAACAGAGATCTTGTTGTTTGGAAGTCTATTCCATGTAAGTGGAAAGGATAACATTTATGAATCTTTATCTCGTTCTGTTGAAAGGAATCGAAGAACTGGGGATTTCGCTCTACTTCTGGGGACTATACGGTGGTGGAGCTTCTGCTGCGAGAGTTTCTGTTCTTGGGATGTAACCGGATGGAAATGTGGCAAACGTGGTCGGCTGCTCGTAGGAGTAAGGCCCAGTCTGGGGCACGTTTGGGTTGTACACTGGTCTTTCGGTCACACCTGAAAAAGACAACAAGCATATATTATGTATTCACAAAATGCAGACATTTATAATGCAACAATAAACTATAGTTATATGGAAATGACAATACGGCTATCGTCCACATTACATACAAAAATGGCGTTTAACATTTTTGAGAATCATTTATTTGTTCAATTAATATCCATTATCATCAGATTAACTTGGGATATTCAAAGATCATGTTTAATTTCTAGTTTTCTGGCATGAATAAATTTCAGATTAAGACAAATCCATTAAAAAAATTATGATGCTTGAAAAATAAGAAAGAGAAACATTATCTGTAAAATTATTATTATACTAAAGTCGAGAAACATAAGTTTTAAATGAGAACGTGCCAAGTGAGATCAAACCTTTGGTAATAAAAATGTTTATTCACGCACATATTTTGGAATTATTTTGCTGACTGACGTCGAATAAAATAAACTATCACCAACACCACAACCGTCACCACCTTAATTCCCATCAGTAGTATAATTAAGGGTGTAAAGACCAGAGACTAGCCAGGGTTAACCCCATCTAGACCTCGTGATTTTGGCACCGATACAAACGTCTGTGCATCTGTGAAGAATCCACACATTCATACGAATACAGATAGTGGAAAACGACGAAGACGGAGTCGACCCCTAGGGCCAAAAGCATGATGTACAGAAGGTTCGAAATATATATATATATATATATATATATATCTATATATATATATATATATATAGATATATATATATATATATATATATATATATATATGGATGGCTGGATGGATGGCTGGATGGATGGACGGACGGACGGATGGATGGATGGATGGATGGATGGATGGATAATTACCCATAAGCTCTAGCGTTTAAAACAAACAGTATGGTCAAAGAATTTGTGTTCTCAGCGAATGCGAGAATTAAATTGTCCGACTAAGAGTGCGTTTGTAACGTCACTTAAACATTTGAATCACTATTTAGTATGAATGCGTCATATCGATTCATAAAGGGCCAAAAGATGCTGCATAGTTATTCAACTACATATTTTTAGCGCCTTAAAATATTAACTGAGACAGGGATCGCGTTTAAGTGAGCACGGCGAAAACATGGAGAAGAATAAAATAAAAAAATTGTGACAGGTCACTGGATGATATTGTGTAAGAAAAAAAACAGTTATTGTTGACTCAAACTGAGTCATCAACGAGCAAAGACATTGAAATGTCCTGCGCAGACAGCTGAATAACCAGCGAAGACAGGGAAACATCCTTCAAGTATTTATAAAGATAAGCCTAGAAAAAATAAACCGCACATAGAATTCCCGGTGCAGGTTATTGAGATTGGTAAGCTCGAACGACTCAACATTGGCATCACAGTTAATGTGTTTGCTTGAAACATAGACCTGCAACATATTATAATTTCGCCATTTGGATGAGTGCCCTAAGAGACAAATCATAAACGTAGAAGGCCCTGATGCCAGCGGCGCGATACCATTACGGCTGCATAAAACGTTTCCCTGAAAACCCTAACGTCACAGCAAACACAAGACGAAAAGGGTTCTGCGTCGACGCGGCATGTATGCATTTAGCACCTAACAGCTGCCTTTTACTACGGAGAGTCAGCCAGACAATCCATGCACGACCAGTTTTGATCCCAGCCTTCCAAACAGTTTCATCAGGTATCTTGACGCCAACAACCTGTTTGACGGGTAATGTCGCAACCCGTACCCGTTGGCGAG